GACCATAATTTATAATTGTATTGAGGATAATAAGCAACAATTTTTTCAACCAACGAAGATGATATAACCAGCATTACTGCAGCGGACTGCGGAAGATATATAATCCTAAATTTAAATGTAAATATACTAAAGAGTTGTTAAAACTGGATTGCTAAGTGCATAATTAGCTAAATACTTCAAGTGCTTAGTCAATATCAAGAAGAAGTACCAATAGGGCATAGGATCAAACATTCAAAACAAAGAGAAGAGGAAGTATTATGCTTTAGTCTAACATTGTAATACTATGCAAACAACTAAAAGGACCTACGTTGTGTAGTAAAGGAAATACTCATATCACAACCTCCAATAAGACACAAGACTAACAACTCCAAGCATATGTGCATTACTTTAAGAAATTTGTGGTCAAAATAACTCAAAGCAGAATTACCCAGAAATCATGACATGCACTGTCCCTCCCACCTTCCCTAACACAGCGTTTTGTTATTTCGTTTTTTCTTTTTCATGATGGGGAGGTGAAGAGAAGCAGCTAGTACGGTGTTATGCTTCATATCTTGATATTCACAGAGTAATTCACATTAACTAAAATATAAAATATTTTTGAAATCGAGTACAAATTTGTCGGCAATGGCTTGCAAGTCTATTCTTGGAATCAGCTTCACCGTCACTTTCTTCCATGAATCATTCACTGCCACAACCTACATGACCATGATGAAACAGTTAGCAAGCACTTAAAAGAAGGTGCTTTGTTATTGTTTAATTTCTCAGACAAATAAAGAGAGGTCAGTAAGGAACATTAACCAGCTGAAAATTCATATTGCATTTACATGTATGAAAAGAGAAATTTAAATAGCAGATAGCTGATGGAATAAAAAGTACATGTGCCAGATTGCCCTTGTATATTCACTTTTGACACGTGCCCACATGCCCTCAGAAATCCCGAAAGACTTGCTCCGGACAACAATCGAATGAGAAACTTCATTCTTTGGAACAGGTGCCACTCTACTTGAATATATACAACAAAGGCCTTTACACGCCTATATAAGGAGCTTGTCTTAGAGAGTGTAAAATGTCAGTAGAGAATGCTTTCATCAAGAAAAGAATGTCACTAATGAATGCTCAGACTTCCACAAAAGCATCAAGGCCAATTCAAGACATAAGAATGTCATGAAAAGAAAAGAGGAAGTAGTACCTCGTAGACATCAGATTGTTCGTCAGCCTAAATATAAATATATCCCTTTACATGATCGAGTGAAAAAGCGGAAATTATCTGCAGCTTTGTTCCTAGAGCAAGCAAGCCTATTTACTTCAAACGTTTCAAATGTGCTTCCACAAGCCCACTCCATGAGCATGTCTGTCAATTATAACCTGTTTGCCTATGTGAAATTTATTACTGCCATGGAACATAGAGCCTTCTTTTCTTTTCTTTTCTTTTTTATATAGTATTTTTGCATTTTAATTTTCTTTTTATATTGGTTGTTTCTCTCTTCAAATCAAGTCTCCATTTCAAAGTCAAACCCGATCCCTAAAACAATCTGTTCTCCAAATCGATTTATCAGTTATGCTATTAAAAAATCTCATTTCTTTCAAAATCAAACTCAATCCCCAAATATAAACTGCTCTACAAGATGCATACACATATTTGACATATAAGATAAAGGCGAGAAAAATTCAATAAAACAAAAAAGAAACTTTTATCAGCAATGAATGTAGTTATATATTGAAAAATATGTAATTATTACAAAATTCACCACTGTCTTGTTAGATTAATATAATTTTGGTCAAGACCCTTCAGCCATATCTAGAGATTTTTGTTAGTGTTATGCTTTCTCTGTTTTTGTAAACTTATACGTAATTGGAATAAGAGTTTTAAGGGACAAATTCCATCTCTTTTCCACATAGAAAAGAATACATGTTGAACGGAAGTTTAGAGCTTACATTAACAAGAAGGAGAATAAAACCCTAGGTTGCAGAGAAGAAGCCAGCTTTTGCAGATCTTCCGATCGCTCAACTTTTGCAAATTATCTCGTTGTTGACTGATAAAACGCAGAGAGACGTTTTTATTAGGAGGGTGGTGACGAGAGCTGAGGGAATGCTTGGGCTGATTGTGGGTTGGGTAAAAAGATGAGGGAAAAACTGGCGCCTATTTATTTGTCATTGCTTATAATCTATTTTAAGGACTGGATTATTTTATCTTGAAGGATCAGAAATCATCCCTTCGTAAATATTAAACATAAAATAGACTTCAACGACTGGAAAAAAGTTTGGTCGTTATAGATACACTTTTAACGATCGGATTCATGTCCCTTCGTTAGAATTTTGTCGTTAAAAGTTAATATTCTTGTAATAGAACGTGAAGATCAGAATGGTTTGTTGGGTCTTCCTGGGTTTCACAGCTCGGATTTTGCTCTTGCCAGGTAATCGCATGGTTCAAAAAGTTAGTTTCTCTGATATTGTTTTAAAAGAAAAATATCGACTATTGTTCTGTTTTTTAAGGAGAAAAGTTTGTATTCCACTTGAAAAATTATGGACTTCAAAGAGTACATTTGTTGTGTCTAAATTTGCTTCCTCAGTTTACCTTTGAAGTGCGGTCGCTTCATTTCAAACTTCAAGGGGCACTTATTCATGAGATTACATACTTCTCTTCGATGATTTCCAGCATATTGTATGATAATTTTAACGGGTAGAAGTATATTCCAAATTGACTTTAGTAATGCAAAAGTTTATCTATGTGTTTCTACTTTTTAGTAATCTCAGCTCTTTACTTATTTATTTCGCGCAACAAATACTAATTAATAACTTGATGTGTATTTCGTTTAGCTTCAGCTCATCAGCATTATGTTATTTCTCCTTAAGTGATCATTTGTTCGAGATTACAGTATTTTAAAGCCCTCGAATCATTTTATAACAGGAAGGGAAAACTTAAAAGTCTTCCTCAAGATCAAATAATACTTGAAGCACCATTAGTACTTTCTAATTAAGGGACAAAGTAAAAGCTAAGCATGGAAACCACGGTAATCCATTAACAAGATGGTTTGCAGCTCATATGTACACAAGCTGCAATTTGCTAGGTTCCAACTACTTCATAATATTGACTTCGTCCTTAATTTATGAAGTTGCCCGTAAACATGCCTACTTATGCTTTGCGGACATTTTGATCATTTTAGTTATAACTGTGCACTATTTGGTTGTTCTTTAGGCTTTAATGCTTTCTTGTGGATCACAAGTGTCGAAAAATACAAAAATATTCGGCTCGCGAGTGCGCAACCTTTTCGCAATATGCGCTCTCAAGGTCTGTTTTATTCTTAAAGATTATCTTTCTGTTTAGTTTCGCTCTGCTCTTTGACTATTTGTTGTTAATTATTTGCTTTTGATCACTTCCAGATGAGTTCAGTTTGCACTGTATTATTTGCGCTCTTTTCATGCTTATATTTTATAGTAGAGAGGTAATGTCACGACCCTAAACCCCAGACCCGGTCGTGATGGCGCCTCTCGCGAAGACAAGGTCAGCCGACACAAACCCCAAGTTTAATTAACAGATATAGTGCTTCATAATCAAGTCATCAATAGTGATAATCCCAAAACAAGGTAAAATATTTCAACTGCGGAAACAAAACACAGTCCGACATCGGGGTGTCACCAGTCATGAGCATCTAAAATCTGTCTGAGAGTATGAAAAGACAACATAGTCTATTACGAAACAAGGACAACGAAATAAAAGTAGGAAGGAGAAGCACTGTGCTGCGAACGCCGAGCAGCTACCTAGTCAACTCCAAACAGCTTGCTCGAAGCAAATCAACCCTCGCTAGCGTGACCTGTCACGCCCCGAACCTGGGCCTGGACGTATCACGACACTCGGTGCCTGACTACATGTGACCGAGCGAACCAACTGGCTGGCTGAATCAACATGTGGTATCATAACATACTGAATGCGGAAGATAAACTAACACATGCTGATATACTGAAAGTCTGGATGATATAAATCAAAGTGCGAAAATACTAATACAATTCTGAAACATATTTGTAGCCAACATAGCTTAATATGAAAAGCCTGTGACTCTGTCTAAACGTTACTCTAGTCTATGAAGCCTCTAATGAAATACTGAAAACACTGACTGTCTGAAAATACTAAGGACTGTAAGGTAATGATAATGCCCCGAAATAACTGGGGATCACCAAATAGCTGGTACGAGAATCCTAGCACTCTGAATCGTCAACCTGTAAATAATTACCTGCATCGTGAGATGCAGGCCCCGGGCTAAAGGGACGTCAGTATATTTGAATTGCACTGGTACGTAAAGCAACTGAAAGAAAGAATTATAAATGCTGAAACTGAAACTGAGCTGATAACTGAGAATCGATAATTGATACTGAAATGATAACTATAGAAACAGAAACTGAAACGGTAACTGATAGCTGATAACTGATAACTGAAATGATATCTGATAACTGAAATGATAACTGAACTGATAACTGATAACTGGACTGATAACTGATAACTGGTAACTGAAATGATAGTTGATAATTGAACTGAACAAAGGAAGTAAGGATATGAATACTCCCTCTACTGAATGATGAACAACCTGTTTATCTGAATAAGCTACGGCCTCGGGCCCAATATATATGTGCACATGCTACGGCCTCAGGCCCAAGTATACGTATACATAACTACGGCCTCAGGCCCAAAAATGCATAAAGCATAAACTATGGCCTCAGGCCCAAACATGTATAAAGCATAAACTACGGCCTCAGGCCCAAGTATGCATAAAGAATATAAACTACAGCCTCAGGCCCAAATACAGGTGTTCAACATTCAGGAACTGAGAATCAAACTGCAATACATGATAGTGAGATACTGAATCACACTGAGTAACATGATACTGGAATACTGGATCACACTGAGTTATATAATATTGGAATACTGAATAGGACTAGACTGAGACATGTATTCTTGAATTGATTATGAACACTGAAACTTCAACTGTTTATGGCATACTGAGTAATCTATACTAAGACTCGGGGGCATCAAACCCAAGTCTATATTGAATTCGCACTGAGCTCACAACGTTCAGAATGAAAGTGGTGAAATAGTTATGAAGCTAGAGAATAGAAGTTCTACAACTATTCAAGGAACTAGCCTTAAATATATTTCTGAGGCAATTGGTAACGTCGTAAAAGATCAGTAGTGTAGGGAGAATTAATAAAACACCCAAACATAGAGAGTTAGCCTCATATACCTTAACTTCCTGCTCTTGAGCGTAATACAACATTCGCCAACCCTTTCAACTTTAATCTATATCAATACAAGTCAAAGGGATTCCATATTAGCAATAATTCTCATGTTTTAGTCACTTAAGCATTTTCTCAAACACTTGGTGACATAAAGCTTTATAGTCCTTATTAATGGTGTCTCTACACCCAATAACTCATTCTCTTGCTCCTAGATAAATTCTAAAGTCTCAAATGGTTAAAATCAACATTATTCTTTATCACCCATAAGGTAAACAACGCCCTTAATCAATAATCAACAATCAACACCCCAAACCTATAATCGTTCATGCTTTTCTATCAAACCTATCAAAACATATCTCATGAACTAGAGTCTATAATCATTAATCCAATAGTATAATCAATTAGAGGATGAAGACATTACCTTTTTGAAGTTCAATCCTCTTGAATTCGAGTTTTAGGGTTTCTTCTCTCAACAATGATGCCACAATCAAATATCTAATGATTTGGAGGATTTACCCATGTTAATAAGATGTTAGGAAATTGAAATCAACTTAGAATCACCATTAGAACTTACCTTGGGTGGTGGAGGGACCCTTAAGGAGTTAGGTTTTTGAGAGTTCTCCTTTCTAAAGAGTGTTTTTATGTTTTGGGGATGTAGGGGACGAAATATGGCTTTAAAACGACCCCCCACGAGCGCTCCCGCGCACCTAGAGACCTGCCCGCGCTACTGACCGTGCAAAACGGCAGTAACACTGCCTCAAAATTAGCGCGGTCGCGCTATCGGCGCGCATATCGCATACTGTTCTGTAAAATGCGCATAACTTTTTGCACAGAGATCTGTTTGGGCTCTATAATATATCGTTTGAAAGATAATTCAAAGGCCTACAACTTTCGTTCTTTGCGTTTTCCCAAATTCCTTACACATTTTCACTATACCTTGCTGGAAGACAGACCTTCCGCAAACTTAGTCGATTTTGTCAAATCTTATGCACCGTACTTTCCATCTTGATTTTGAAATAACTATTTTCACCCATAATCATCCCGATGTAACTTCAAATGTTCAAAATATAACCTTACTACTCCTTTAACTCATTCATACCTAAGACGAATTTTCGGGGTGTTACATTATCTCCCCCTTGGGATGATTCGTCCTCGAATGATTGTCCTGACTGTAACTTCTGCTAACTCCTGACCTTAAACAGGTCTTGTGGAAACATGAACTTTCATTAACACTTGTATACTAAACTGAATCAATACATGATTACTGAACTGTTGTGATACTGAACTGAATGACTACTGCATTGACTGAATATCGGTCTGCCATAGATACGTGAATACTGAACTAACATGGGTATATGAATATTGAACTGGAACGAATATTTGAGTAATCTCAGTACTAAGCTGGCATGAATGTCTAAGTATTGGACTAACATGAGTAGTTGAGTACTGAACTGACATGAGTATCTGACTACTGAACTGACATGAGTATCTGAGTACTGAACTGACATGAGTATCTGAGTACTGAACTGACATGAGTATCTGAGCACTGCACTGACATGAGTATCTGAGTACTGGAAACTTGATTGTTATAACATGATACGTGAAATACTGGTTGTACCACCGCTAATTTTGGTGGCAACTCCAACTCATAAGCTAATCGACCGATCTTTTGTAGGATCATATACGACGTGATATAATTGGGACCGAGCTTTTATTTCTTCCCAAATCTCATAAAGCCTTTCATAGGTGAAACTTTAAGAAACACTCAATCATCAACTTGGAACTCTAACATCTTCAAACGCTCTTGGATCAACTTAACTTTCTCTATAGTCTGATAGACCAAATTTGGTCCCAACAACTCCTTTTCACCAATTTTGAACCAACCAATTGGCGATCTACACATTCACCCATATAGAGTCTCTCACAG